CTGTGAGCCAATCATCAGCTGGCAGTCTGAAAGTTTGCTGGGGCCCCTTCGGCTGTGGCTCTCAACACCCACTATTGTGTACATCCACAGAATGGTGTCCTAATTAGAATAATATATAATTATTCATGTATAATCTTATCAGAAATGATTCTACCGTCATGTATAACTAAAAAGAATCAATAAAAAATGATATTGTCTCTTGTCTTCCAGTTTTGGTGGTTGGGAATTTAGCTTTCTTTTTTTTTAGTATTTATTTTTTAGCTTTAGGTGGACACAATATCTCTATTTTATTTTTATGTGGTGCTGAGGATCTAATCCAGTGCCTCACGCATGCCAGGCAAGCGCACTACTATTTGAGCCATATCCCCAGTCCATGGATTTAGCTTTCTTATACCATCTACTTTACCCCACTACATTTTCTCATTAAAATCAGAGCTTAACCTTAATAAGTAAAATCAAAAATCAATAAATGAGGTGGATTCAACTAAAAAGCTTCTTAGCAAAGAAACAATAAATAACATGAAGAGAGAGCCTACAGAATGGGAGGAACTCTTTACCACATGACCTCAGATAGAGCACTAATCTCCAGGGTATATAAAGAACTCAAAAAACTTAACATCAAAAAACCAAATAACCCAATCAATAAATGGGCAAAGGAACTAAACAGACACTTCACAGAAGAAATACCATCGATCAACAGACATATGAAAAAATGTTCAACATCTCTAGCAATTAGAGAAATGCAAATCAAAACTACTCTAAGATTTCATCTCACTCTAGTCAGAAATGGCAATTATCAAGAATACAAGCAACAATAAGTGTTGGCAAAGATGTGGAGAAAAAGTTGGGACTGCAAATTGATGCAACTACTCTGAGAAGCAGTATGGAGATTCCTCAGAAAACTTGGAATGGAACCATCATTTGACACAGTTATCCTGCTCCATAATTTATATCCAAAGAATGTGAAACCAGCATGCTACAGTGATGCAGCCACATGAGTGTTTATAGTAGCTCAACTCACAATAGCTAAACTATGGAACCAACTTAGATGCCCTTCAACATATGAATGGATAAGAAAATGTGGTACATACACACAATGGAATATTCCTCA